CGTAACGTAACGTAACGTAACGTACGTACGTACGTACGTACGTACGACGAGAGAGAGAGAGATAGAGAGAGAGAGAGAGTCCCAAGTGCTCCTACTGTTGTGAGCAGCACCGGTAAGTAGTATTCTGCTGACCGACCTTGACATCCAGCACTGTCCCGCCGAGGGAGGAGTTGAACCCCCGTTCGCCATCGGCACCGCCGAGCGACTTCCTGCTCACCCGCTGATAAATCCTCTCCAGAACCATGTGGAAGGCCTTCTCCACATTGGTCGCGTCCAGCGCCGACGTCTCCAGGAACAGCAGGCCTTCCCTCTCCGCCAGCTTCTTCCCGGCCTCCGTCGGCACCGCCCTCAGCCCCTCGAGGTCGCACTTATTGCCGACGAGCATGATGACCACGTTGGGGTCCGCCCGGTGGCGGAGCTCGTCAAGCCACCGGGGGATGTGGTCGAAGCTAGGGTGCTTGGTCACGTCGTAGACGATGAGCGCGCCCAGGGCGCCGCGGTAGTAGGCGCCGGTGACGGCCCGGTACCGCTCCTGCCCGGCCGTGTCCCAGATCTGGGTCTTGACGAGCTTATCGTCGATGCGGACCGTCTTGGTCTGGAACTCGACTCCGACGGTGGCCCGGATGTCGGCGCTGAACTCGTTCTTCGAGAATCGCGACAGCAGCTGCGACTTGCCGACCGCAGAGTCGCCGATCACTACCATCTTGAACACATAATCCATCCCCTTTCTCTCCTTGGGACTCTCGCGGACCGAATCCGGTTCATACGGTGCGTATTCAATCACCACCGGTCTCTCTCTTGTGCTCACGGGGACTATTAAATGCGCAGAGACTGGTAACCGAAGAAAAGGAATATGGACTGCAGTAGATCTGCCTGCTGTCAACAGTCGTCTGTGATGAGTTCAACTCGCTTTCTTGTTGGAAAGACGAGTGAGATCTTTGGATTCATCTTCTCTGTGCCACCACTGGAACGGAATAGACTGCATGCAGCATAGATCACTTGTTGGTCCATTCAAGCTTGGTTGGGTATAAGCGATTCATTGGTATGACATGATTCTTGAACATGTCCTCGATGATGTTGTGCTATCAAATGCTTCGCATAATATTATAAGATTGTGCTACTCATGTGACCGAAGCATGGGTTTAGATTTAAACAGTCTCTTGATTCCTGCCTTAAGACTATAAGAAATATTTTTCTTATGAAAGGCTGACGATGTTATGAAATAAACAATGGATGAGAACAGTCTCATCATTATCATATAACAACTGTAGTTATGCACACACATTTTAGGCTTATCTAGTAGAAGACCGGAGTGTTTGAGATCATGGCTTGATAGATAGCTTCAAACCAGAAATGAGCAATACAGATATCTTCTTCCACCAAGCAGATCAGCTTTCCGTCAGTCTTTACAGTTTTGCATTGCCACGAGCTCTGGGGAACGGAATTGCATCCTCGGCATCGGTAATTCCAGTGGCCATCACGACCATCTTCTCGAGATCGAGGCTGAAACCTGAACGCTGAACGGAGCCATACCTGCAGAGATCCATGTACCAGTCGTACTGTTCATGCGGGAGACCAACTTCCCCGATCCTGCAAAGAGTTCGACCACCGGTCTCGGTCAGTGCACAAGATAAGAGTTGTTGTTGTTGTTCTTCCTTCATCCCTGTTTTGGTTTACCTCTTGCTGATCACGTCCAATCTTTCCTCCTTTTGGCTTCCTCTAACCAGAACTCCGACCTACAGAAAAATTCTATCAGCGCCCGTACCGAAGAAAAATTGGGATTTAACTCGTCAAACACTTGCTTTGGGTGCGATTATTTCGAAAGCAGAAGCTGTTATGAGATTAGCATTCCCTCGCACGTAGAATGGTTTGATCTCTTTGGGGAACTCATACACGATCACTGGATTCTCGAAGAAGTCATCCGCCAGATACCTGTTTGACAGAATGCGTCGTCAAGAAACGAAACAGAGCTGCAGACAAACACAGCTGACAAGCATACCTCTCGTGTTCTTCCGAGAGTTTGGTTCCCCAGACAGCTTCTGTCAGGAAAGATCTGTCCTTTACCTGTCAGTAGGATTACACTGCTGTGATTTGCAACCATCGATCGTGAGAGACTCTTAAAAGGTTCTTGCGACTCACCTGATTCAGGATGTCAAGTGCCTTGGAATAGGTGATTCGATCAAAAGGTCTTGAGGTTATCGACTGCAGTCGCTTGATGCAGTCGCTATCTATTTGTTTTGATGCAAACTTGAGATCGTTGCCTGCCGTCGCCAACAGGGAATAGCAGAGGGAATGCAGCAGGTCCTCTGCGCAGTTCATGACGTCCTGAAAGCATCATGAAAGGAAATCTAATTTATCTTAGCGTATCCACAAGGTCAAATGTGCAGATTTGTGTCAGCGTATAATTAACCTCAAGTTCTACGAAAGCCAGTTCGACTTCCACCATCCACATCTCCGCCAGCTTCTTCGTGGACCGGGACTCATCTGCTTGAAACACAGGTCCAATGGTGTAGACTCCAGAGAGTGCACACGCGTAGCTTTCAAGGTGAAGCCCAGCTGAGGTCGAGAGGTACACCGCACGCCCAAAGAAATCCTCGGAGAGCTTCACTTCTCCGACGTACACCGTGGCTGTCTTCTGCCTCTGTTCCAGTACTCGAACCAGCTCCTTGGACTTCTCCAGGTCTTCTTCTGCCGCGACCAGAGCTTCCTTGTTGTTGCCACCTCTACGTAGCTTATCTATTCTGCTCCTCTTCTCCTGGACTGCTGCCTTGAACACTTCGAGGTCGACATGTCCTTGATCTGCTGCGTTGAGGAGGGTCGTAACCTGGAACCTCTGGCTTTGGGTTCCCGTGGCAATAGATGTGATGATGGGCATGTGGACGTGTATGATCCCGAGGTCGTCGAAGAACGCATGACAGGCACAAGTTAGGTTACTCCGAATGCGAGCCACAGTTCCAATCTACAAGCATATGATGCATTAAGTTTCATTGGAATGGTATGGTCGACATGCAAATCGTACTGATGATATCTGAAGAACTACTACCGTAATGAAACGAGGACGAAGGTGGGGATGGTCTCTGAGGAACAGCGATGAGGGTTGCGGCTTCGCTAGTGGATAAGTCTTTAGATCGACGGCCCCAACGTACAGCAGCTTCTCCACTATGAGCTCGACTACACGCCTTCTTCCTCTCCAACTCCTCCGCAGCACGCCTTCGACCAAGATGGAGTTCCCGACGGTGACAACTTGGCCGGGAATGGACATGGAAGAGTCCATCACAAGCTTCAACAGGGCAACAAAGTCAATCGCAGAGAGCCATTTGGCCGAGGGCAGACAAGAAGATTCAGACCTGAAGATTACTACTGCAGGACCCGTCGTTGATTAGCAAGTATATGACGATGTGCTTGTCCTTCGCTGCAAGGGTCTGGGCGCCGCCGCCGCCGCCGCCGACCGGAGTGCCCGATATCGGCCTCAGTAAGGGGACGTATTGCACGTGGACTTCGCCGAAAAGGACGTCGTCTGCTTCGGCCGGCGGCGTTGGGATGGGTGCATCGTCGACTTCGGCTCTCTCCTTGCGAGACTTGACCCATCCTCCGACCACGACTCGCTGCCCCGCTACTGCCAGCCCTTTGTCCTCGCGGTCCAGTATCGATTTCAGCACCACCCGCTTGGAGTACTTGAACCGCTGGATCGGCGGCGGCACCCGCAGCAGCTGGTTTCTGCCAGCGGCGGCGCGTTGTGCAGACGCCATGATTACGAGGGCAATGGTAATTAATGGAATGATGGGAGAGGAGGTGAGGAGGGCAGCTGGCGGAGATGGCGTATATATAGGCATACAAGAGAGAGGAGTGACGGGGGAAGTCTGGAGGGGAAGGGAAGGGGCCGTACGTGCACGGATGCTTTGGGTGCACGGTGAGACAATGCGTTGCTTTGGTCGGTTTGTCTCCAACCGGAAGGCATTCTTCTTCCAAATGCGGAGAGGAATCGTGGATGGATGATTCCCTCTCGAGCACAAGGCATTCTTCTTCTTCTTCCAAGTGCCGTGGATGCTACCGTATCATATCCTCGTATATCTCATCTAATATCCTTTTAAAGTGATTTAAACCTAATATATTCTCGTACATCTTCTTTGTTCGACACCCTCCACGCTAGCGATCGAAAACGATAAGTCAGTATGAACTCGATCAAACATTTCATCATCAAAACAAGTTCAAAGCTTCATATTGCTACTTCTCTTTCGGGTTTATTGTTCTTGTTGCAATGATCGAGACCAGAACGACACGGAGAACAGAGTATATATTTGATGAGGGTAATAATTACGATAAGACTTGTATGACACCCGCCGACGTCCCGCTCCCTTGTTAGTCCGACATCGTGTGACTGACACGAGTCAAAACGCCAACCGAGGCCCATTAACGATCGCTCAGGTTCGGTTCCACACGCTACGCCGATGGCAATGTTAGACGCTATCAGAAGGTACGATCTTAGCCCTTGCGGGGAGGCGCATCAGGTAACACCGAACCCCCCTTATAAATCCCCTTGCATCCTGAACGAAAAAAGGGGGGGAGAAGGAGAGAAAATAACTCCACTACGATTGCTGATTGACTTGATCGTCGGAGGGGTCGGGTCGAGTTCTCCCGTCCCGACCTGTGTGCAGGAACGAAGGCGAGGCGCTTCCCTCCGGGCGTGTTGGCAAGGAACCCCTCGCGAAGGAACCGGCGACCCGTCATCCGGACCCGAACCACCCGTCATCCGGACCCGAACCACCCGTCATCCGGACTCGAACCAAGCCGCGTCGGCCTCGAGGTCACGACTAAAAAGTTGTTTACACTAACAATATTACAGTCTCAAAAGGATAAGCTCCGATATGTCATCATCATCAAAACTGATCGTAGGAAAATAAGTTTTCTGATCCGAACTCGCAGAGGCACAGAAAAGATGTCATTAACAGAGTTTGCGGATGTTGATGCGATCTAATTGGCAAACCGTTATCGATTGAAATATTGCGGAAGATAAAATTGCCAGCGGCAGCTTTTAGATCACAACACACAGCCTCTAAAACTGTACGTGCTTCGAGGAAGATATCATACGAGAGGGACCGGAAAGTGGCAAATGAAGGGCAAAGCCAAGTGTTGTGACCGCACCAACTCCCTACCCGAGACCATCTCCGCCACCGCCTTCTTGAGCGGCGCAAACAGCTCCGCCACCACCCGCCACCGGAACTGCGACCACCGCACCAGTCGCCGAAGCAGCAGTCCCCGACGCCTGCTGCCCAGCCTCACCGTGCCGCCCCGCCGCCGCCGCGTCCTCCGCATCCTCCTTCCGCCACCGAAACCCATCGGCTGCTGCTGCTGTTGCTGCTTCTCCCGCCCCGCGCACCACCGGACGACCGTCATGCTCCCGAGCTCGCAAGCCACCTTCGCCATAGTGCGATGAGACAACGCCGATGCGGATCGCTCTTATAACAAGCGAAGAAGGCTCACCCCGAATGCTAACAATGGTTGGTGATGATTGTGACATGATAGGATGAGTAATTAACTGCTGCAGCAGCAGCAGCAGCAGCAGTGATGATGATAAGCTTCGGTCCACGAGTATCATAAGGAGAGTGCGAGATCAATCATTAGGAGCAGCTGCCTCACATGAAACTATTCCTGCAAATGGGCACAAACAAAGCAGAAAAGTGTAGAGGAATCAGAATGAAAGCAATAGGAAATCCAGACTTGTAGCCTACTCTTATTGTGGTCAGCACATGAGGCCGCCGAGGTCTTTTGGATACATCTCCATGGCTGGCCACGCATGCCACTCTTCTTCCTCCTCCCTTTGTCCACTTCCTCAAACTTCAATCAGACTCCTCTACACTATTCTATCACTCATTTATGATTCATTTGTTCTAATATATGATACAAAACGATCCACCTACCAAAGGTTTTGGCTGAGAACTCGAGATATTATGTAATTAATTTTATTTTAAATGATTTATCTGGTTCTCATACTTATGATGATGTGATGTAAGATTTCAGTTGATAAAAATCTTAATGATTCATTGTAAGATTTTAAATTGGAATCTCCTCTTTACCATGGCACAATCATTGGAGTGGTGTGATGATGAAAGAAGCCACCAACAAGACATAATTAATCTACTAATATGTATGTAGGCTTTCTACTTAAGCTAACATCATCATTTTCTCTTTCCTAGTAAGCAAATCATGAGGCATTTAGTACCATCATAATAGATAATGGGAACTGCAATCATTGCAACTGGTATGTATGACATATGTCATTGTGACTTCAGTGTAACACCCAAAGATAATGAAACTAGAGAGTCTGATATGATGGGAATGATGACTGCTAGTACTTTGGAAACAATGAATTGATTCTTGATGATATGTGTCTGGATTTGCAAGCAGTGTATTTTTGATAAAACTCTAAAGTTTTGTGTGCTCTGATACCAATTGAAAAGACTCTAAAGTCTTATCGTAAAATTGGTATCAGAGCGACGATAAGACTTTAGGATCTTATCAATTTTCCTGAAATTTTTTGCTATGTACATTTTTTAGTAAAAGAAACCAAAATGAAATGATGTGAAGCAATGATCAACCCAAATGCAATTTTAAACATATAATCTAATATGTGACATTGTAGATCATGAGTTCACTTGCTATATGAAGGAGCTTAGATGCACATAATAAACATGTAGCAAGTGGCTGACATAAAGATACCCAAGCACTTGAAATTGAGTTGTATTTTAGTGTATATATGTCAAACATTTCCATGCACTAAGGTGAATAATTGACATGCTCAACTATTTTATGTTAAGCATATGCGATTCACTAAAAGCCCCACCATTTAATTAAGTGCATCTGATCCCTGTAATCCACAATCCTATGCTTGCACGCGAGCAATCGATCACCTAAATCCACTAAACTTGTCCTCCATGCTCATCGAATAGTAGGTTGTTTGTCCTGTGATGTGTGTGGCCTTTGCTTTGCTGAAAGGTCAATGTGTGTTACTTTGTGAGATGGTTTGTGACCCTTTAGGAAAGGAGAGCTATCACAAGAATTGGGGAGGAATTGGGTATCCCAAATCATAGATAGACTGCTTGTGTGATGATAAGTAGGGACTTCTATGAGTTCTTTGTTGATGACAAATAAAGAAGTTCACTATTTAGAGTTACTATTTTTCAGAGTCCTCTTTTTACTATTAATAATTTATCAAAAAATTAAGAAAGTAATATTTTACTGATTATATTTTCTCTCTAATTTTATTTTTACCATCTCCTTTTTCTTTCTTCTCTCGCCTATATAGACTATTATCACTTGCTTTTCTCATCGTCTGTGTATTTTGTTGGACAGTTTGCAAAGGCCCATAAAATGACGATTAATACAACTGATCTAAAAAATGATATCGTTTAGATCATTATAGAATATACATAATCTTAAAGATATTACATCATTGTAACAAATGTCAAAAACTATTTCTCACTTCCTCTTCTTCAATCTTTAATTCATCCGATTTCATCATTTATCTTTGTTGCGTCATTTTATGTCACTTTTAACGATTAAAAGGAGAAGAAAAAAAATAAAAAAAAAGATTATAGGTAAAGAGCGAATAGATTTTACTAGAATTAAATTATAAATTGAGATATATATATATATATATCGATTTTAATTACAAAGGAATAATTTAAAATATTTAAAATTTTAGGATCGTAAATAATAAAAAAAGGATTACAAATAGTAATCTCCCAAATAAATCTCTTTTCAATTTGTTGAAATATACCAAATGTGCGAGATCAGATTCCAAGACCTTTCTATCGAGTCTTTACCGCTAACTAACATCTTTATCATTATATAGTAATATATCGATAGTCAAAGGTCTACTACTTACCATAGCTAACATCTTTTCACATTAAAAAGTAATCTATCGATAGCAAATCTTAGCTAACATCTTTATCATCATCTCTGCTCCAACCATTGGATCCATCATCATTTCCATTTCCTCCGCTCCATACATTACTTGATTCTCTTCATCAAAATCTAGAAAAATGACTCCTCTTACTCTCTCTTCCTTCGCTCGCTCTTTTTCATCGCATCGCATCGCATGCATGCAGCAGTCATGTACGCCTCCGAATCAATCGGGCTCAGTGTCGAAACAAGTAATGGCCGGTCAAGCGTGCTGTCACTCGCACTGCAAGAACCAAGACTTGGGCGACATGCCAAACCTCTCGTGGGTGTAGTTGAAGGAGAGCTTCTGGAGCGGCGCCAGAGGCAGTCCTCCGTTGACGACGCAGTCGTCGTAGCCGATCACCATCAGCACCTTCGGGTCCGCAAGCGACTGAGGGAAGCCGCCGCAGTTGATGTGCACGTCAACGGCGGGGCACATCGGGCAGCTGTTCTGCACCACCACCACGAACCTCGGCGGCTCGCCGAAGCCCACCTGCGTCTGCTGCACCCTCGGCTTGTCGTCTCTGCACCTCGCCGCCGATCCTGAGACACAACGTCGAACCGAACCACAGCATTATAATCCCGCACACCAAGCATCCGTGAGAGGAAAGGCGAAGAGGGGGTCTCCTCTTCCTCACCATGGCTGGTTAGCAGGAAGACGACCGCAAGCAGAGGAGCCAACTTGAGGACCATCCTCTCTCTTACACGAAGAGTGTGAGTGGGCAAGGCAGGTCGATATAATGGGGAGAGGTGGTCAGGGAAGGGATGATGGAATCCATGTCACATGGTGGTGAGGTCTGCATGATTGGCCACACTGCGATGCCTCAGGCTGAGGTCTGCATGGCTGTAAAGCTGCTCCTCGATCTCGTCTCAGAAATGTGCAAAGCAGATGCTGCATCTGATCAAACGAGGACCACAATCGGATAATCTCACCTGCGTAAAAGATAGATAGGAGGCAAACAAGAGATTAATTCTATTGATCTGTGCATGATTTAGACTGGGAAAGAAACAAATTTACTCATCTGTTTCATTGGCATTTCTTGTCAGAGAGCAGCAGTCGATGAGCTGAGCGAATCAGTAGCATGTCGAGGGAGGTGCACATGAGCGGGGTCAGATGCCATGTGCAGCTGCTAACAACATTGACAAGATGTCCTCGTCGAACAGGAGAACTTCCATAGATAATTATATATATATATATATATATATATATATATATATATATATATATATATATATATATATATATATATATCTGATTGCATATATAATATTATTGAGATATGGAAAAGGTTAAATTCTGGATGGTGAGAGAAGGACAAAAAAACATAAAAACCTATACAAATTTAGTTACAACAAAATTTACGATTACAAACAGATCTCGTTTATATCCAACCTGAGATCATATCGGAGACCTTTTGTTTGATCTTTTGATTCAACAAAACCGCCGACAAAACAGTTGAAGAAATCCGTGAGATCCAATTTCAAGATTTCCCGTTGTACATGGGCAACTATGGTTGGTTTTCTTATGACATGAGGTCTTTTGTAGGCAGATCGCTGAACACAACACTGACCATCAACATCCTGAAGAACCAAGGCGAATGCTGTACTGTTAATCAAGCACAGGAACCTATACAGAGGCTCGAACCAGGTTAAGCATTTAGATTATACCACCATTAATGTAGCTCCAGATAGCAAATGTCACTGCCACCAGCAATAGAAGAAGACGAACCTCCTCTGGGTAGACTCACTTTCCTGAATAACGATCCACGAGCGCCTTTACCTTCTCAGGTGCAAAGAATCTTGCCTGATGGAAGTAAAGGATCAACATTTAGTTAGTGTGTGAGAAGAAAAATACTAGTAGCAAGCTAATTCATGAGAAAAATAAATACAAGATAGATAATATGAATAAAGGCAATATGAATACAGCCTGTTTTTTTCTTTCAGAGATAGTTCTATTAAAATAAAATAAATAGAAATGGGACTAATTGAAATATGCATAATATAATGTGTAGCATTTTGAGGTCAACAAAAAGCTGGACGAAGACCATGGAAGAGTGCCAAGAAATCCATCATGAGAATTGTATACTCTACAATCAGGATTTGTCACTGATCCTCTAAATGGCATACAATGAGAAAAAGAAATAAAAAAATCTTTTCATTAATACATGAGAACACGTTTCTGTTATTTTGAAATGAATAAACATGAGGCTACGCATACATACTTGTATAAACATCCTTTCTGCATCACCAACACTACCATTTTCTTTCAATATGATTCCCTGAGAAAAGACAGAACAGTTATATGCTGAGTTCCTCCGATGATACAGTTGGTCATATAGTTTGCATCATCTAACTTATATAAGTTGTTCATAGAACTAAGAATAAGGACGGGAGGCATGGAAATAATATTTTCATCAGAATAATAAAATACTGAACCAGACATTTAACTCTTTCATTTCCTAAATGCAATTTGGATAGGCAGTGACTATCCTCATGCACGAGAGGGTACCTATTTCATCTTCTTCGAATTGTCAATAAAATCTACAACCTTCGCTAGAGGATAGCCATGGAAAAAATTGGACAGTCAATGTTATCCACAAGCAAACCACTATGTACTGGACAGTACATACAGGTCAGCCCAGTTTGTTGATCCATGTTCTAGATAACCACACTTGAAACTGAATGGAAGTGTACCTTTGCCAAGTAACCTCGAAAGTCATCAGGATGCTTGGAAATGAGCTGATCGTAAACAACCACAGCATCACTCACGCGACCCCAATCAGAATAAGCCTTTCCCAAAAGCAAATCAACCTAGACATGCAATCCAAAAACTTCAGAAAAAGAAAAAGTATAACGTAAAATTACAGATTACATTTATGCAAAAGGAATTATTTTCCCCTAACCTTAGCAACAAGAGCTTCGAGATCAGAGCCAATTTACATTAAGCAACTGTAATTCAGATTTTGTGTACGATGAATAGTCATATGATAGGATAAGTGATGGTGATTGCTAAAACGACCTAGAAAAAGTGAACTAATCTCAATGTTGATGAGGATCTGTTCCCTATCCTCGTATGTCAAAGACAATCACATAAAGAACACTGGAGATCTTAAGATACTTATTATATTCAAGTTTCTTCAAGAAAAGATAGAGAAAGATATAAGAAGACTAAGTGAAGGAACTGCCAACTCTTTCTAAAGTCCTATATGTTAATGTATATGTGAGATGAATTTCTCTCCCGGTTATTCTCCCATAATTTAATTAAAACTACATTATATTTCAACATCTGAAATGAGCAAAGATTGGAATAAATATCTCAAAATGTTTTTACCCATTAAAGGAAGCATATTATAAACATCTGCATTAGAACTTTTTCGAATTTATACAAAAATCAATTTTTTGAGTTGGACGATTTCTACCACTAATGAGCCCATTTGACCCAAAAAGATATGGAGTTAGCTTTCTAAATGTCAGGAAAACGATATTTAATGACACAGTTAAAAAGAACATATAGCTACTAACATGTGTTTGTATGCATCTTACCCTAATTTCAAATCTAAGCAAACAGATAGATAGATGTTCTTAGTAAGCTTATGAACTCACTTGAATTGGATCAGCATTAAGATTTTCTTTGTCAAGGTTAACTTTTCCATCCACAGACACATTAGAACTTCTCAAGTACTTTTCATTCAATTGTTCCCGGTACTTCAAAAGTTCTTGAACTGCCTGCATAAATTATAATTAAAAAAGTAAATTAATATTATCTCAAGAAAGGAACTATATATATAATCTGGATAAGACTTCCTGAATAAATAAATGGACTAAGTGGCTTAACAAGTTGGAGTTAATAAAAAGTAGTCAATCCTATGCTGGTTCATACGCTAGAAATGTCACAGTTGGCAATTATGCGTTTCCGGCACATTGACCACCATGTTTATCTATCACTCAACCTAGCAAGAATAGGACCATTTTTTGTATTAGCTTTGTAGTATGATGTCTAGTTTTAGCCCACATCAGAACTTCAAAGAAGGATCCTGAATTAAATATAAGGCATGGCATAAGACAGTAGATAAACTAAGGAGATTCACATACATATCCCTCAAAAGTGGAAAACAATTAATATATTCTTCGAAATGTTAACATCACATGCATGTTCTTCTATGACCTAAATGGTAACACATATGTCCAGAGGTTATTTACCATTTGTGGATTGTTAGAGATCAATCATTAGTGACCAAAAGGTCCAATATATCCTCTTTCAAAAATGTCTATAAGTGCATACTACTGGTCACTTGAACCTTTCCTTCAATGGAGTAATATGAACCTTTCACATATGTCCTTGAAATCCTCCAAAATGGGTTTAAGAGAGGAGGAATCTTGGAGGATATAAATAACATTATAATAGGTAAGAGACTTATGGGAGAAGAGGTGGAGGTCAGGAGATGGAGGTGATGCAGAGGAGAAAAAGATGGAGGGCATCATGGGTAAGAGGGTTTAGGCATTAGTAAGAATAGGAGAGGAGAGGTGGAGAGACATCACCAGTTAGAGGTATGAGGTTTAGGCTTCAAGAGAGAAGAGGTGGAGGATGAAAAGATGAAAACAAACATCTTCATCATTTTCCCCATTGCACCATAATTTTTGCAGCATTTAGGATTAACATTTATCACAACAATTTAACTATGGTTTGGCTAAGTTTCACTAAACTAATGACAAGGACATATACTTAATTTTCTATCTTTAGAGGAACATATATGTAATTGTAAAATTAAAAGGATATATCCATTATAGCTCACTTTTCATGGATGTGTGAAAATTTCCTTACAAGCGATTATCCCACCTCTAAAGAGAAACTCTTAAGTACCCTGTTGTGGCAAAACCTTTGCAGTTTTGACCAGCTAATGGGTGCATAATAGCAAACTTCTCCATTGTAATGTCATTTGTTTGCTCTTATAAAAGCAGCATTTCCATGTAAATATGAAATAAGAAAAAAAAAAAAAGATCTGTAGGTGCTAAAAATTATGATATAATAAAATTCATCGAAGTACACAGCAGATCCCACAAACTCCATGGAAACTATCACCACATAGAAGTGACAAGCAGCATGTCACTGTATATTCTAGGGTGCATATCTTAACTCTGTGCCTTTGTTCCTATGATCTTCCATCTCTAGTCTAGGGTTCATGTCCTTATCTCTTACCTTAAGGGCATCATCATCAAAGAATTATGAGAGGGTAGCCAATTTAGAGTTTCAAAATCTTAAAGGAAATTGCATGCAAATTAGTTTGAAACTTGCATGTTCAGATTGATTCCAATAAAAACCAACTGAAACATGGTGGTATATATATTTTTTCTAACAATTATAACACCAAACCCAGGAAATTTGTGAATCAATCCTCAATCAAACAAGTATGTGCTGCCCAATATATGTAGTATAGCCCAGTGAGGAGTTTCTTGGATTAAGATGAAAAAAAATTTCTCTACCAAATATGATGCCTTGGCAGTAGTAAAATTGGTTTTGTTCCAGCACATACCCATGCATTTATGAAGTGACAGCATATACAATGCCAATCCAAGAAACACATGAGAAGCACAAAGGAATTTTATCATCCAATAGAAGTTTTTCATGAAGCGGCAAATGATAAAACTTCAGGCACGGGGAATTTTCTTAGCATGGTCAGTTACGGGTGAGAAGCAATATCTCCATTTCATTTGTGGACACGCCATGAGACCTTCCTTGGTCGGGTACAAAATCATGCCTATATACCTTGTGATCATTTGCAACCTCACTGCCAATGAAAGCTATTTGTAAAATCTACACAGACTCATTTACCTGGGCAGTGGCTTAAAATTTATCTCTGCTACAATTTTACACACCTTGTCGGACCAGCATGTTACAGGTATACTGACCTGCACCTCCTAGGATCACCTGGAAAAAATGATAAAAATACTGAATACAGATTGGTACCGAGCTACATGGTCTGATACAAGTCCTTGGTTATACAATTAAATACCAGTCAGTACATATTGGTCCAACTGCATTTGGAACCTTGAAAGGTGATTCAGTTTTAATTAATATACAATTGTAATGTGGATAGGAATCTTCCAGCGTCCTATAAGTTGTACAAGTACTGAACTAGGTCTTCAACACTCAAAAAAAAAAAATCTTATGTAAAATGTGTGGATATGTGGAAAATAAACTAAGCAGAAATAACTAGATGAATAAGTTTAATTTTAAAATAATGTATATGTTAGTGACATTGCACTAATGTGCACCAAAATGACCATAGAAGTTTAAAAGACAAACCGTGCCAGGTTTCTTGGCAGCCAGCAATGAGTTTGTAAGCCCACGAAGAACTTCGAAGTCAATGATACCAGAAGCCTGCTAAAAGAAAAGTGGAAATGAAAAAGTACTAATTAAAGAAAATAGCAGCAGAAATTGTTAGAAAGCTTTGAGAGGTCATAGGAATTTCTTATTTTACATTATTTGTTCGAATATTAGCATGTTCCAAAAAAGAGCAGCATGGGGCATGAGGCTCCCACAAATGGCTAGCATGTTCTAAAGAATATTAGCTCTTCTATTTAATGTACTAAATTGATAAATGTTCAAAAAAAAATAGTGCATATAGGTTGTTCCTTGAGCAATTCCAAGAACCATATGACATCTTAGTAATTATAGAAAGGCTTGTACTAACAGATAAAGAGTTCTTGTACGCTGAAGCACTTCCATCATAATCCTTGAGCTCAAACTTTACATCTCCCAGTAAACGATAGACATCAGCATTATTAGGCCTTTCCTGAACATTGGAGACGAGGCTCTTTAATGGAAAAATAAACCAAATGATTTTTAATATATTAGTTAAAGAAGAATTTCTACCAACATCAGCATGGCATAGGGTAAACATAAACTTACCTTGGTCAATTTCTCAAGAAGAGATGATGCTTGCTCATAATCTCCTAATTCTTCCATAGTAACCACAGCTCCCTGTCAAATTGTTTATAGTTCTCATGACAAGAAGTAAAGAAGAAAAAAGAGGAGAATAAAAGACAATGAAAAGTTGAAACCAAACACCTAATGAAATGAGATTATCATTTAGAGGACACAGAATGACAATTCCTTTGCTTAATTGGAAAAACGATTCTTTGAAAAGATTCAGTGTAGGATTAACATGAAGGGAACCCATATTGTTGGATGCCAGGCTGCTGGCTGCAAACTCATAAAGAGTACACAAAGTTGCTTTCATATTATTCATCATAACTTGATACACTTGCTGATGGAGTAACTATCAATATGTACAAATACACTTATAACCAAGAATTGCAATAATGGGTCCACCTGAAAAGTCCACATGCCAATTTGGGCCTGAACCGGTAGGCATTATCCAGTACATACTGGTCCAGGTGAAATTGCATTCCTTATAATTACTACCAAATTAGTAAGTTTCTACAAATAGACCACTCGTATTTCCATCTTTTTCTTTCCTTCTCCATGTTTAACAACAGAGAATATCATATCAGACTTATCAGTCCAGAGATATTATTAGTAGTTCATGACCGTTCGGCATTATATGCGACAGTAGGCTCGTAGTTTCTTATTTGACCCATCCAACCAGCATGGTCCAGATTAGAATAAACTAGAACCAGGTATAGATTCTCTTGTTAAGAATCTGGCACTGGATAAAAAATTATACAACTACTACATGAAACTGTAGACTAGTTTGTTATGTGAAACTTTTAAATATAGAACCCTTTCGTTTAGAGTATTTGCATATCAAACCTTGCCCAACACCAACATTTCTATTTGACATAACATCCAAAGTGCATGCCATTAACATCCATTAGCTGTTCTAAGTCTAACAAATTCTCACCTAATTTACATCTTAACTAGACCTAAGGATTGATATTACTTCGATCAATTTATAAGACCAATGACCACTAAAGACATTTCTTTATTTTTTTAGTTAAAATCATCTTTCATTAATTAGACCAAATTTATTCATTTGTTAAAATATATTCTTTTTATTTCTTAAATATAGGATAACGAGGTAGTCTCATGATCTCATCTATATATTGCAACAGACTAGAACACATCAGAAGGCACAGATTTCTCAAACATTTGCAACAATAATGCATCATTACTACAAGGGCTGGAATGTAATATTAAATAAAAACATTAGCAATTTTGTTTAGAGGTGTAATGAAAATCGTAAGACAAACTAGTTCAGTTTCTATTTGATTGAAATGATCAATTATGAATGTAGAATAACTTGAGATGATATATATAAAGAAAATCTTAATTAAGAATGCAAAAAATCTCAATATATTATCTACAGAAATTAAAAAGGTAGGATTCAGCAGTTCTAGTTTCAAGCAAGATATGATATCTGAAAACCATGACACTGGATCTGTTAGTTTTTAATATGTTTGAACATCATCTAACCTGAGCCATGTTTTCTAGCCAACCCCTATGTCTAGGACTCAGCAATTCTTCAGTCAAACAAGGTATACCATGCTGGCTAAATGTCCCTATGCTGCTGTTTAAGGTAAAAAATCTCCTAATAATATGTTGGCATCTTTGGCATGGGTCAGCTTAGCACTTGACTGTAATTTTCAGGCATGTTACATTCTGACACAAACATTTGTTGAATGGCATGGCAATCCACCTACTCCTAGAGCAAGTTATACTGAATGAACCTGCCAACATGACCGTTATTGTGAAACCTAAGTTATTAGGAGCCTATTTGTCATGTAACCAATCTTTTCTTCTTTTTCCTATTCAAGATTATGAAGGCCCAAATATATGACATCTGCCTATCAGCTCTAATATCCTACTCATACACATCCAGCATCCATATTTGTATCCATTTCTACCTTGAATGTTTCAAAAATCTATTTTCATACGAAAGTTATACATGCATTTTACCTGTTCGACTTGTTCCTACTTACCAATAGCAGAAAGTACAAGTTTGAACTTTGAAGCACACAAATCAAAATTAAATTTGTATAAACAACATTGAGGAGCCTTTATCATCTTCCATTACAGCATTACATCCTACCAATCAATGTAACATCAACTTCAGCTAAAGATGCACTAGGCTCTTGCTCATCGCAAAGGTATGCTTCATTCAGAGAATCAGTTCTTGAAATCAACATAATTGACAATACAGACTGAACATATGTGCTTTGACACCTCTGGCTCTAAGAAAACACCATGTCAAAGGAACTTTATGATTTTTACCTCCAGAGCTGTAGGATCTTCAGGTGATTTGCTAAGTATTTCCTTGTACTCTTCAAGCTTGGTCTAATGAGATAAAGACGCATCAGTTAGTCTTTCAAGTTTCATTGAAAACTACAATTTATGTTTCATTTTTTTATGGTGAAAAGCTTATATAGACAAATTCAACACAGACCATAGATGATGCATATGTATAAACACAGTTTAAGCAAATGACACACAGGCAAATATATACCAAAAAGTCATCTGATTAGATTAACTACATAAGTACCTACAATCAATGACTTTATCAAACAAGAGAAAGTGGACATATAAATGTTTTGGCTCATATTTTAATGTATATTGACTATTTACAGAATGAACACTAGTGTTAAGCAACTTCAAAATGGTGTCATACTCGTATCATTATCATAAAAAGTTACCAGTATACAGCAATATCCTTGGGTAGAGACCCCCAAAACACTCAATCTTAAGATCCAATCTGAATTGCCCTTTCTAAACTCTCAAATTCTTATCATGTTATTGTGTTGACCTCACGTGTATCATTTTGTTATTTAAACTTCATGTTTTACTGGGTTAGTGTTCTCGACTTTTGGTTCAAATGCAAGCCATCAAATGTTAATGTTGTCATCCGCTGTTCCCTTTCTTTTTTCATATTATAGCTTCAACATAAATCTATACAAGCATAAGTGAATTTTAGTGCTTTCTTCCAATAGAATTGTGGGTTATAAGTTCAATCAATCAGCTAGACATCTCAACCCAGCAACTGCCCTTGTGCATTTTATTCCAAGCCCCAGTCTTTGCATAAATCAATTTTGGCGACAAATTTAAGAACTGAGTTCAGAGGATAAATGTTAGAAAGAAGACTGAGTCTAAAGAAATAAGAGCAACAGAAGATAAGAAACAATGGCTGACTCTCGCAATCCTATACATATGCAGTTGCCGCTGGTGATTTTTACTAGGAGCTTTAAGAGGGTTAACTGAAAGCATCGAAGTTGGTGTGGAAATACCAAACCCGTATAGTGGCTGATGTTCACATGAAAGTTCTAATGAACTCAATCAACTACCTACATCATTAATGTACTCATGTACAAAAGCTTGTACCTTAAATGTTGATTTCTCTTCTTCTGTGAGTGTTTTCCCAATTGTAGAAGCATCTTCACTAGGGCTAACACTGCATCAGGCAAATGAATGAATAAGAACACGTAAGATCATGATATTCGATAATACTTTAGATGTGGGCATCATTTGAAAATAAGCATAGCTCTTACTTATGTTCTTCAGAAGTTTCAAGTGTTTCATTACAGATGACTAAATTGATATCATTAAGGAACATAGACTTCATAAAAGGTGCCAACAGTCACTGAAGAAAAGACATTAGCTCATGATGCTAGAGCATGCAACTAAATGTAGGTTACAAGTACATTTTTGGCAAAATTTTAAGTTTATAGGGCAATCATCAATCTATCAAAAGCATCAGAGTTGTTGATCTTAAACACTACACTAGCAAGTAGCAATAGTAACTGCTGATACACATAAAAAAAGCATAAATATTTATGACATTTCTAGTCAGTAGTAATTTTACTATTGAACATAGATTTGTATTGTGCCATGAGAAACTGAGGTTGCTAAGCAAGACACCAAAACAAATTCATTCTTTAAAAAATTCAAAAGTTCATTCCTTGAGAAATAGCTGTTAGTATCAAAAGTTTACAGTACCAACTAATCGGGAAAAAGAATATAAAATTAAAACAACAACGTAAGAAAAGAAAAGCATGATACAATTGTAAAAAGACTGAGAAATAGGTAATCTGTACAGGATAAAAAAAAGTTGAAAAAAGTCGACAAGCTTGTAGTGATAAACACTTGGTTTTCCAAACCAGACTATAAACTTAGCATATATGTTTTATTACCTTCCATATGGAAGAAAGTCTCCAAAAGCAAAAACCAGTCCAAAAACCAAAACAGCTGCCCCAACACCCACCTATCATGCATTAAACCCTAATCAGAAACAATTCACTTAATAGTCTTTTTTTATACTCTTCAATAACAAACACTAAAAAATGCACTATACCTTGGTGCCCAATCCAATTGTATTTTGTTCTGGTTCAATGGATGGATCATAGTCTATTGCTTGGTAATTTTTGTTCTCCTCAGCTTTTTTCTGCTCAAGTGCAGACCTAATTGTGTAATTCAGAAGGGGCATGATAAACATATATTAAAGAAAATGATGCAAGTTTCATATGTTTTTATCAACTACATGACATTGGCTGTAGACTATAAAAATGTAAAGAATATGTTACAAATATCATATATTGATAGACACAACATGCAAGAACTCATAATGCTTCTTCGATATTTGCATATGATGAGACTTTTGAAGTTTGGGATTATGTTAAAGCCATGTCTTAATTTGAATTTAGGCAATTCAAAAGTACAAAGTGGGTAAAGGAAAAGTAGGAGGGGAGAAGAAAGAGAAGAGATGGAGGAGAGGAGGCTGAGAAGAAGAGGAGGGGAGGGGGCAGCGAAGATGAAGTGGTGGGGAGGAGATTTCAGCAGAGACGACAGCAGAGGAGGATGAGGAAAGAGGACAGTGCTGGATGGGGGCAGGGGGTGGCAGGCAGGGAACAAAAGTGGTGAGCAGAGGGCGAAGACAGCAGTGCAAGTGCCGGCTGACTGCATGATGAAGAGAGGCAGTAAGCCCAGTTCACAGGGCTTACCAGGTGGTAAACCCTGTTTTCGAAGTAGACTGTTTGGTTTAGGGCAGTCAGCGTTTTGATAAACTTGTGAACAAATATGTATCAAGTGGTACATACGGGTCTGCCAGATATGTAGAACCCTGCTGAAGATCATAACAAATGTTTTTTAACAGTTTGTTAATTCTTTTTTTCCAAATAGAATAGCAGACAATAAGAAAAAGACCATCACTACACTTTCGTCATATACATGGAAAAGTATCTTCCACCAACATACAACATTTCAAATGGAGGGAAGAAAGTAGATTAGATATCTAAGCATGGGATCCCATGCTCGCTTAACTAATGTGTGACACAAGTGGATGCGAACAATAGATTCCAAAAAGTGTCTAGGAACATGCAAGAAGCATCTTGAATTCATCACTATAATTAGAATCACTTTCGAGAGGATTAAATTCTCCACCACGAGCAACATGAAGCACTGAGCTTAAGAATGTAAAGGCTTCACAAAAAAGAACTTTAGAAATGGAGCAGAAATTTTCAATGAATTCAGAAAATTAAAAAGGATATAGAAAAAGATACGGAAAGTGCCAATTTCTAAGTGACTCTGTCATGGTGAGATTTCAGAGAGTTTTGAGTGAAATTAGAGTAGGGGGAAGGGTCATGTAAGAGAGAGAGAGAGTGTGTGTGTGTGTGTCGTTTAACACTCCTTAATCCAGTCACTGGGCCAAGACTGGATGGTAAACCCAGTTCACAAAGGATACCATGCAGTAACCCCTGTACAGCTCATGGATGATCTGCATCCTGGTTTACCAGTCCAGACGAAGTGACAACTTGTATCATAACTCATAAGAGTAAGGAAAGGCTACGAGCATGGATGGTCTAATGGCAAGCAGACCAAAGATGATTAGTTTGATTCCAATATATCTCTTCAAAGGGCAGATGACACCAAGATATAGGGCCTATGAGTGATGAAAGCAAGAGTAGGATGAAGATCTCCAAAAGGGATAGGCCTTAGCCACATGCCTCTCAAAAATCTCATGTAAAGTTTAGAACCCAGGGAGGAGGAAGAATCCCTAAAGGCTAATTCAACAAGCACAATGCCTTCCAAACTGGAAAGATATCAGTAGTTATTAAGTTGCTCTAGAAGAATTCCCTCCTCTGAAAATATCTAGAAAATAGTATCCCTAGCAATGAAGATTCTCCACCATTGTTTACCAAGCTGGCTATGCTAAACATCCTCAACTCATAGGCTGCCTTATGTTGTAGATGATGGACCAATAAATTAAGCACCAAAACTCCTTGCAAATAATTCTTTGCCCTTTTGAGAGAAATGCCCTTGAAAATTTACTTAGATCATTAATCAGCTACGAAAAACTTATAATGATAATCTCTATTATTTGTATAACATAGATATTCATGTATAATCAATTAAAAACACGGATTATAAAAGTTAAAAGCTAAGTGAAAATTAAAGCATGCTCATTTTGTTAATGGAAACAAAAAATAGTTCTCATTTCCATTACCTTCTTACTGCTTCTACCTTCTCCAAAAATTGCTGATCTAAAACAGCATTGCTCGAATTTCGACTAGTACCGCTTGTTAATTGAGGTGCCTCTACAAGTTAGAAATCCTTGTAAGAAAGGTAATGTAATTTAAGGAACTTAAAGTAAATGAAAAGCATTATTTCTGTATCCTGATGATACCATACATCCAAAGGAAGGCATCAACTTTGAATAGCATCGTTTGTTTTACCTTTTGAACTTAATGAGTATGATCTTCAATGCTTAATTCTTTGTGGGCCAGTTGAGGTTAGTTTAGACAAATGCTAATCAATGCTTGAAATTTAATGGTATGCCCACCAGTACAAGCGGTGTGTATGGACATGCACATGAATCAACCAGTACTATGCAGTATTAGCAAAACCAGAACAAACCATCTTTCTACGGTTTATTTTGAATGATTCAAGAGCAAAACAAGGTTAATATCATGATATCAGACCGTCAGTCACGATTCTATTTAAGTTAGGTTTCAGAGATCAGTTTTCCTCTTTTCTTGAAAGTCTCATCGAGTGATAGCTACGAGAATTAAAAGGACTCCAGGTAAGCCAACTTCTCTTTTGCATTTTTGTCCTTTATTTTCTGATCATACCAACCAGTATACTGTTGATAGACTGATACAATATTCTACACATACCTGACAATGTTAATTTCCATATGAGATAAACTTTAGATGAATTTCGGTTGTTCTGCATGGAAATTGAGATCATATTTTTCTTTATCTTGTTACTTCTGCAACTGATTCCTACTCTATAAAGCACTGAAATGCATGTATATAGACAATATACATCTTCCATACTGCACAGGTACATGCATATAATTTTGTATAAGCATGTACATCTACAGCAGGTTATTATTCAACCTAATATTCAAAAGGTATATCATTCATGTTCTGTGACAGTTATTTCTACTGTTCAATATTACTAATGAGTATGGAACAATATATCCAGTTTTTGAATTAAACAATAGTAATATATGAACCATGGTTGTTTTTACCAGCCGAGACCTCTATGAGTTAATTAGTTATGCGTGGGGGATGTCTAGGACAATTTAGTGTCTAAATGTTTAATATTTACTCTCAAATCTGATAACTAACCTGACATCAGGTGGTTGTCAGGATTTCACTATGATCCACTATCTGCTTATAAATTTGGATCTTGGGTGAATCTGATCTGACAAACCCTCATATTAACCTCTATCTAAAATATATAGTAAGCTAAGAAAGAACAATTAGAGGGATATCATACATACATGTTGCATAAAGGATCTCGTATGTACATATTTTACAAAGAACTTACTTTGGCTTCTTGTCTTGAGCTCTCCAGATGCAGAATTTCTAGACCAGAAGACAAACGTGTCAAAAAAATTACAATCCAGTGACAGCTAGTAAAAAGCATAATTCGTCTCTAAAGAAGAAATAGGTTTTCAAAGCACACCCACAAGAAGTGGTGACGAAATAGTTCAAGTCAAATTATAACAGGGAAAAAAATACAACTCAAAGTACTGTTGTTGCTATCAGAAACAAAGACTATAATCTAATATTTTTTTTATTTCAGATGATACTGCCCGTACCGGACGGTACGTACCGGTCCGCCAGTAGATCAATACATGAACCGTCCGTTGGCGAGCAGAATGTTGGATATCGCCCCATATCGGACGATATGGGGCTATCGAGCGGTAACGATCAAAATCGACCGTTAGCAACCTGTAACAGTGTTCCAATGGTCAAATTGATCGTTGGAGCCCTTTCTCATGGGTTTTTAAACCCATCCTCCCCCTATTTCACTCTATTTCACTCTCTCTCTTAAACTACCTTAAACTCATTTATTCTCACATTTGCACACTCCTAAACTCTACAAAGCAACGATTTATGAATTGAATCGAGGCTAATTTGAAAGGATTAAGAAAAAAAACTTTTTAATCAAGAGGTATGTATTCTCTTTCTTTAATTAGAGAGTAATTAAGATCTTTAATATTATGATTAGTATGTTTAATATTGATTAATTCAAAATTAGACACTTAATAAATCAACTGTTTATATTTTATGCATATTAGATATTAGAAGATATTTATGATGGTAAAATAGGTTTAATTAGGTTTTATTAAAGTTATTTATTACTACGATTAGTGATTTTAATGATGATTTAATCGAAATATGATCGATTTTGGATCAATTCAATGTCTTTAATACATATTAAGGTGTTTAACATTTTTATAGTGTTGAAAGAGAAATAATTAATAGGTAATTAACTATGTTAAACGTGTGATTAGTGTATTTAATGATGATTTTGTTATAATTTGATGTATATTGGATCAAAATTACGTATTTAATGTTTCTTTTATATGTTTCACATATTTATGATGGTAAAATAGGTTTAATTATGCTTTATTAAAGTTATTTAATGCTCGATTAGTCATTTTAATGATGATTTAATCAAAATTTGATCGATTTTAGGTAAATTCAATATCTTTACTACCTATTAGGGCATTTGACATGTTTATAATGTTGAAAGAGAAGTAATTAATGGATAATTAACTATGTTAATCATGTGATTAGTGTATTTAATGATGATTTTATTATAATTTGATGTATATTGGATCAAAATAACGTATTTAATTTTTTTTTATGTGTTTCACATATTTATGATGGTAAAATAGGATTGGTTATGTTTTATTATTTAATGATGCGATTAGTGATTTTTTATTGATATTAGATCAATTCAACATGTTTATATTTTATAGCTTATTTGATTTAAATTTGGTAGGATCATGGCACCAAAGGAACAACCACATAATGATGCATGAGTTCATGCTCGAAAGATAGATGAGAACTGTCATTATTGGCAATGTATTTATTGTGACTACATTGGCAAGGGTGAAGGAATAACTCGGGTGAAGATGCATTTGGCCGGTGGGTATCCCGATATTACAAAATACAAAAAGATTCTAATTGAGATCCATAAATTATTTCAAAGCAAACTACAACAAGCAAAAGAAGATACATTAAAAAAGAAGACAAGAGTTGAGGAAGAATACTATAGGGCTACGCAGGAACCAGTTTATGATCTGTATGAGGGTCGCGGCGATGAAATCGACCTGGATCTCACAGTTGGGATTCATGCATCATTGGAGCATCAGTATATGGTCAATGAAGCAATGAGACATCGACGACCTGACTCACAATTGGAGCATGATAGTGGTAGTGAAATCTAAAGGTCGGCCAGCATGAGGCAACCAACTGCTCCAATTAGGCCGAACTAGTAGCATGAGACATGGTGGACTCCGTGGTTTTATGAGAGGTCTTGGTAGGAGATCCGCACTAGATATTGTTGATATTGATATGCAAACCTATCCCCCACAAACAGTGAAACATATATGGATTGACGATGTATATACAAAAGAAAAGAAACGGGATATTGGGAAGGCAATTTTAAAATAGTTCAACTTCCACAGGATTCTAACCAACACAGCCCAAGGTCCATATTATCAGAGCATGATCTCATCTATTCAAAATTATGGCACGAGGATCCAACCTTCAACATCGAGAGAGATTCATGGCGTGTACTTAGATGAGGAGGTGACAGAACTGAAGGATTGGATCAAATCCTTCAAGAGGCAATGAGACGAATATGGGGTGACACTGATGTGTGATAGTTGGACATGACCAACAAGAATGAGTATCATCCACTTTCTTATTTATTACAACAGAAGGGTGGTGTTTCTTAAGTGAGTTAATGCCTTTGAAGAGATCCAAGATGCAGACTACATATTGAGAGCTTGATGGACACCATAGTAAAGGAGGTCGGACCACAGTATATTGTCCAAATAGTAATCGACAATGGAGTGAATTTTAAGAAGGCCGGTTTGCAATTGATGGAAAAAAGAAAAACATTGTTTTGGACTCCATGTGCAACTCATTGCATAGATCTAATGTTGAAGGATATTTGTGAGCTAGACGCGGTCAAGAATTGTGTAGCTCGAGCACAATCAATTACAAAGTTTATATATAATCATTATTGGGTCCACTCTTTAATGCAAAAGTATGTAAACGGTGAGATACTCCGACTTGGAGTCACTCGGTTTGCTACTAATTTTATTGCATTAAAGTTATTATAGCAAAAAAAACATAACTTGAAGGTAATGATCATATCACAAGAGTTTGATTCTATATATTCGAGATTGAGCGATGGAAAGAAGATAGAAAAGTCCATTCTTTCCTCTAGATTTTGAGAGACCGCGGCTAAAATCATAAAAGTGTGGAACCACTTTATATTGTTCTTCGTAAGGTCGATATGAACAAGAGTCCACAGATATCATATTTTAAATATATATTGATTTCAGCAAGAGATGAGGTCAAGAAAGCATTCAAAGATGATTTTAAGGTCGACCAATACGTATGGATCATTGATCGTCGGACTAAAGTTCATATGGATCAAGATATCCATAATGCAAGTAAATTTATATTCAAAATAATTTAATTTATTATTTTTATATAATAAAAAATTATACTAACAAAATTATGTCTTACAGTGTATATTATTTAGACTTGGCAATTCAATATCAGTATGCTCTCAGAACGCAAAATAATTTACTAACAACACTACGAAATGTTATATATCGACTCTTACCAAACATTACTGATGCAGCCAACGTGCTTATGGAGGGTCGATTATTCCGAGAAATAGTTGGTTCATTCTCCGACGTTGTAGCTATATTGTGTTGTTACACTATGGATCCTAGTGAGGAAAAGTTACACATATTGATTATCAATTATATTTGATGTTAATTATTTGTTATGCTAATAAAATTTATTATATCTTTTTACAGTCGAGTGGTGGCTACAATTTGTAGGGGATGCACCACATTTAAGAAAGGTCAGCGTTCATGTACTTTCATAGATGACGACATTTAATGGTTGCGAACGTAATTGGTCAACATTTGCATTGATTCACACGAAGGTCTGTAACAAACTCTCGTATAAACGGTTAAAGAAACTGGTATATGTCCATTATAACATGCAGCTAAGGTTGCAATGTGCTGAGCTGGATAAGGAGCCAGAGGAACCAGATATTGATCCCATTGACCTCCAATTCTACAACGAAGATTCAGAGCCGATGTTAGAGTGGGTCAAAGCGATAGAGAACCAAGAAGATCCTCTACTTGATAAGGTGGGAGATCCTCAACGTCCTTCACGTTTTATCACTGAGGCAATAGAAGAAGAGGAAGCACAACCCCAGTAGGTGGAAAATCCCCCTCAATCACAACGTGGCAGGAGTCAAACAACATTGAGTCAAACTGCTTGAGGAACTACAGACACCCAACGATCACAATCGTCCGCCGAGCGTGCAAAGGCAAAGGGGAAGGCAGTAGCATCAGTCACACCGTTGGAAAGAATCGAGTTGGACGACGAGATACCTTCACAATCGCATTCAGCAACTCGCTCGGTTGAGAGAGATGACAACAACATGGATAACAATGCCTCGACAGATGATGGTGGTGATGTCGGGTAGTCGTTGGTCTCGTCTACACAACTTGAGGGTGGTGTATGAATCGACGAGCAATATTTTACACATGCCACCCAAGATTCAGATCATAGAACTCGACAAGGTACTGGTCAAATTTATGCGCAGAAGGGGAAGGGGAAGGGGAAGGCAGTGGATGAATTTGAACAGATGCAACAGAGCCTACATGATGTAGACGCAGAACGAAGCTCATCGCATTCACAGTCGTCGTATTATGGAGAATCATACGACCAACAGCAGTACGGTGATAGTTGGCCATACTTCTCCGAGCAACAGTATGATACGGAGGAGCAGATCAGTAGCGAAAGTAGAAGCTCTAACATTCACCAATACATGCCTTAGGAGCCGCCTCGAACAAATGTGATTCATGACGATTAACCTACGATCATCACCACATTGATGCATCAATGGCATGCATTGTATCAATACACTATGTCGTGAGATCAATTTCAGGATTGGATCCAACAAACATATCATATTGATATGCAGATGCATAGGATTGAGGACCTCGATCCATCACCTGTGGAGGCCCATCGCTCGTTTTGATGGTAAATTTAGCAATTAGGTATATTTACATATGTGATTATTTAATTCATTTGAATTTTAAAGTTTATATTATAATAAAATAATCTAACAATTCAAATGATTTTTCTATAAATATTTCAATATTTACAGAAGGATAATCCGTAATAGACCGAAATACGAACCTTGCACAAGCCTATTCCTTAGAGCCCGAAAAAGATGTGTGACATCATTCTTACCTAATCTACATTGATTTTGCTAAATTTATTATATTACTATATTTATTTCTAACTTAAAAACTTTATCCTAACTTTTTTTCTTCTATTTTTCATATATTTTCGGAGGATTTTATGCCTAAATTAGGTGTATCACACCTTACCGAGCAAAGCTCGAAACTCCGATACGGTACAGAATTTCAATCATTGCTATAATCAATTAACCACTTAGCTTATATTAAAACGATAAGTTTACACATCATATAATAAGAATATTATCGAATGTTTCCCCTTTTCCCCTTTGGTTATAGGGGACTTAGTAACAGTAAAATGTCTCTTCAAGACAATGTGCAAAAATTAATCTCTCTCCTTGCAAGTTCCATATAATAGAGACTAGTAAGGTTTTCAGCCTTTAACTATATATTATTGTTCAAAACCTTGGAAATTTCTATAACTGTAAGATGAACTTCCAGATTTAAATGACTGATTACTATGGTTAATTAAATTATCATATTTAAAATTTTAGTGACTTCATCAACAAAGTCCTTGCGCATCTCATAAGACAACAGCCAAGTCTAATTTGGCAAAAAGAATTTCCAAAACCTATTTAATCACCTAGAATCAAACTTTACAATGCAAAAGAATGACAGAAAGGTGCTATCAGAATAAATCTATTTCTATGAAGACAGATCATATAAACCCCAAACTGTTCCCTCTTCAAAAATAGTTTGAACAAATTGTATAATTCTAAAACCTCAAACCATAGCCTTATCATGCCTCGACATGCTCATTTGCCAAAGCTCAATGCTCATCCCCGATGAAAAAGTTTGATTCACTATTGTCACTAACCCATCCCAAGAAGAAAAGATGTTATGCAAACTCCATCAACCATCTCACTGTTAAGAATTTACGCACAGATCCAAAAAAAGTTAAAGAGAGCACCATGAAAATATTTTGCGGCACTTCAAATGGTGCTCCTTAGGTCTCATGAACTTTAAGCATAACAAGAACAAACATCAGTGTTTTCAAATGTGCCAGAAACTGATACCAAAAATAATGGTGGAAACGAGCCATGGAACCATTAAAGAGATCAATGTTTAACAGAAATATGAATAAATGTATGCTACGCACCTTGTTTCAGATGTAGAATGACTGCTCTCCTTCAGATTCTTCGCATTCTTGCTCTATTCAGGAAGGAAAATACCAGAAATTTTAAGAGAAAATTCATTAATTGAAGATATTGTCATAAAGTATAAACAATCATATATGAAGGCAAATTTTGAAAAGATTGACACAAAACCTATCAGAAAAGTAAAACTCTAAACTACCTGTGTAACTTCAATCCACGTTTAACTTATACATAAAGGTACCAGAGTGAGATGCAGACATGGAACACAGAGTTTGACATGATTTTTGACCAAAGCCAAGGTACGGGGATACAACATGGTAGTGTCCTTGGATCTTGGATCTATATACATAGACATATATGCGTATATAGATACTCAATGCACACACAGATATATAGGCCAGACATAGGATTGTTATGCAGGAAAGCACCATTACCTTTTCTTTCTTCGTAGTATCATTCCCAAAACCACGTTTTTTTGAAGCTGAGCAGAGAACACTAGAAGTCAGACTGTCCTTTTGCAAATCAGTTCTTCTGATAAGCATTCTACATCCAGAACTCAGATGACAAACCTACACTTCAAAGTTTTGAGACATAAGAGGGTGAAGTGAAATAATGATGAAGCACACTGGATGAGTTCAATCAGGATATTTCTGGCAAAAGGAAAGCCCAAACATGCTTTAGTGAAAAGCCTTTTTAAAACAAACTAGAGCAAAGTTCAAATATGCTTTAGCATAAAGTGATTTAAGAAAAAAAACTATGTCAAAATTCTACACTTCACAATGGACTTATCATACTTGAAGATGATCAACAGGATTTTTAATATATAGCATGAACATCTTTCCTGGCCTGCTTGTAATAAAACGTGCTCTGGACATGGAAACTAATAAGCCATGGGTACAAAACAGTGCAGCTAATGTTTAGATAGCATGGAACGAACAAACAACTGATGCTCATTACAACCAATAATTAGAACCTTAAACCTGAGAAGTAGATTATCAATCCAATTTTATCGGATGTCTCCAAAGAGACAGATGTAGGTTGTCAGGTGTTGAGTAATTTACTATTAAGGGTAAAGCAAATGAAAATGTGATAAGATATACCTTAACAGGCACTCGATACGTGGAAATAATATGTTTGCACGTAGAACAACAAGAGTTTCTTTTTCTACCATATCAGACAGACTCCTTTCATTTGGATTGAAGATGCCAAAAGTGCATTTCATTCAATTTTATAGAAGCCTATCCGAAACACAAATTCCAGGAAAAAGAAAACCAATTTGAATTTGAGATAGTCAAATTGCTATAAGTCCAGTCAAATTTGTAGATCTCAAGGAACACATCAAGTACCATATTTTATGTGGTTTTGTTAGAGAAATCCAATCTACTATTGGTAGTCACTTGGAACCAACAAGACTAAACTAGTTGATAACACATTACCTAATCTAACAGGCTGTGGCCCCAACCATCATGCCCGAAAATAACCAACCACATTCCAGCCGAAGAAAATTTAGCAACGTCCGTATGGTCTAGGCCAACCACAACCTTGTTTCTGTTCCCATATTTAACTTCAAATTGACTCACAGCAAACTCACCATCTCAAGAAGCATAAACCTTTGGACTACGTAGCAAAAAAACTATCTGCACTTTCCAGCACTTAGGAGGCAGCCAAATGAACCTAAAAATTATGCCATCATAAGTTCTGAGCTTGTAGTTATATTATTCTAAAAAGACCTCAATTGCAGGAAAAAATCTTTGTAGCCAACCCCGAATAGTTGGGACCATATGGCTTTTTTTTTTTTGGTATAGGTTTTAGCTTACTCGAATTGCAATGTTGCACCAAGTATCCAATGAAGTAAATCATAAAAGGTAAGCTAGAAACTGTAGTAATCAATAAAGACATGTAGAAATTTGCAGTTTTCAACACTTGTAGTAATTCACATTCATCCAAGTCTTTTCATGATGAAATTACAGTTTTCTAGACTATTTTCCTATAGCTAAAGCATATTAAGCCTCTACGGTAGAAGTGGTCAAATTACCAATGGGTCTTTTCTAGACTCCACTCCGGGAATATATTCAGCCTCCGCAAGTGAGGTTGGATGTTTCAGATATCATACAGTTAGAGATCTTCACTGAATATACAAATGTGTCAGCTGCCAAGAATTTGGTAATAAACTCATTATTTAGAAAATGCAACAATATCCTTAGCTAGAGTGCTTGTGCACAGATGGCCAAAAGAACTGGGTTAAAATAAGAGACCAGCATCTCTAGCATCTGTGAACTTAAAATCTTAGTTATATATGTTTACTATTTACTATTTAATGACATCGTTAGTGCCTCCGCAATTTATCATGGCGAGCATGCATGAGTTTCCGAAATAAGTTCCACAAAGAAATTGTAGATTGAAGTATTGAACATTAAGCTTAGTAATTTTAATTCTTAGCCCTCCACAAAACAGAAAAATCCTTGCTTCATGGGGACAACAGGCTAGAAGAAGAGGGCCTGCCAGCTGAGCCAACCAGCTCCACCCATCAATTACGCGAGGCAAGGCAGATTCTTGGGTCACAAGGCTTCCTAGTTTCTTCCAGAATCATAAGGCTCAGGCGTGCAAGGAACACATCCACTATGTATGCTAAACGATCAACTCATGGTTGCTGCAGTCTCTGGATGGATAATTTCTTCACGGTCACTTTTTGTAATTTAGAAGCTGACGACACGATTTCTTCAGAAAAATTTCCTAGAATTCAGATATTTTACATTGTATAGCGAGATTAAAAGCAGAACTGCGACTAGCAAACAATTTCCACACAAAGCATTCTCAATCCCCCACAATACGAGCTTTTGTCGACTTCATGTTTCAGAAAACTAAAGGGAAATGCTTTTGATCGAAAAGAAGAGAAGAACAACCCAACTGCAGTTACCCCCAAGAAAGAATTTGTCAGGTGAATGCACATCACATCAAGAAGGCCTTTTTCTTTACATTTTCTTTCAGGAAGATGATGAGAAGAGGATGATAAAGAAGATAAGCCGCCCTATTACCGCTGTGGAGAGGCACAAATCCATGGCCTGGATGCGAAGAGGGATACCCCGAGGCTCCTGTCTCAACCTTACCCCTCTTCCTCGCTCCTCCTCCCTTCCCTCCTCTTCCAAGATTCTCCTTCCGCCTCCACCTCACTCGCCCTCTCTCGCTCTCCCCGTACGACGCCTCACGACCACCGCCTGCCTATGCGAGACGATCAACCGTCGCCTATCCTTGCTTACCATCATGTGATATTTTAACCTGTTTTATTTATTTATTTAAAAATTATTTTGTGAATTTAAATTCTTAATTTGTATTAATTCCATAGAAAAACTTCTCTCTATTTAATTTGTTTTCATCTCTTCAGCCTTTCTCCGTTCACGGAAATGTCATACCCTATTCTTTTTCCTGACTGAAATATGTATTGCTTATAAATGAAGGGATAAATTGGGAGAAAAAGGAAGAAGATAGATATTCAAGAAATTAAATAATTAAAATAGAGAAACTTTTTCTTTTGCAATTTTAAGTTTTTTCTTTTAACTTCGTGTAAGCAGAAATAATTTTTAGTATTTTTTTTTTAATTTTCAGTTCGTATTTTTACACCTTAAAGCGGTATACTATTATCAGACTCACATGCTAAATATTAAATATTCAAAATCTTATCTTAACCTAACTTAATCATTAAAGATGTTTATTATAAAATTCATTTACTATTTATCTTTTTAAAAAAATCATTTTTAAAAAAAAAATAATTAAGCCTTATAAAAAAGTATATAGCATTTAGTTAAATCTGTATAAATAAAATACACCACTCGTTAAGATCATTAGGATATTAATTAGTTTACATATCTTTAAGTATGTATTTGGATGCTTTCATCTCCTTTTGTTAGGGAAGATATTAGGGAAACAATTCCGAGAAAAAGAAAACTTTAATAGGTGGATTGGCCGACTTGTTAAAAACATCAACATCAGATAGCTTTTGACAGAAGAAAGATTTAGATCACACTCCAAACACTTACACCCTTTTCTCTTGGTTTATTAAGCCACCATAATCTATCATAAAACACACTCTTTTTGTTTACCATGCAAACAACAATTGTTCTTGGTGTTGGGAAACGTGAGGAGGTATCATATGCACGTGTATAGTAAAAAAATAAAAACAAAAATTGATTCGTGCGATGATCGAAAATGAAAACTCGATAAACCAAAAAAATTATCTAAGATTCGTGAGACGTTCTCACCTAAGGGAGATCATATATCCCCGTAAAATATAGATCCAAGTCCATGGATGAAGGAGATCAGATGTCCTCCTCACTACCGGTGAACCACACGGTGAATGAAGCGGAATCGCACATTCTCTCACGATGTGTTCTTTTCTTACTTTTGCACACCACCAAAAACATAAAAGGGATAGTCCTTCTTACTACCCTTTCGCACTAGAGTAATCGGCTAAGGAAGATACAAGGAGAAAAGTTAAGGAGGTGATGGCTAAGGGATCCAGCCTTATAACCCTTTTAATCTCACATCCTTTTTATAGAGAGCTCCTACTACTAACCCTAATAGATCATATCATATTGGGTACTAAATCTACATCCAATTATCTTAGCATATTGGATCTCTATCAAATTATCCCTAGCTTAATAGAAATTTAATCTCTATCCAATTATCCATATTTAAGCTTTTATTGGTTTCACTCAACAAATCCAATAAAACAGGGGCTTATTGCTGGAAAATATATGGGCAACATCACATGCATAGTAAAAGAACAGAAAACAAAATCCTAGATTTTCACAAAAAGGTTTCATCGTCGTGCGAAGATTGATACGTAAAAATCCGTAAAATTGAAAACCACGTGTGTGATAGTTGTGTTACCTAGAGAGACCGTATATCCTTGAATTCCTATAGATTTGTAGAAGATGATGAAGGAAGTCAACTGTTATCCTCTCTAGCGGTGATCCACATAGCATGGGCTATAAAGACGCTCCTCGAATCGCTGCACAAATCTCCACATGCCCTAAATAAGAGCTGTTGGCTGAGGAGGAGAAGGGGAGAGGAGAGTATGAGGTGGTAGCAAAAAAGCCTAGATGACTCTTTGGTTTCCTCTTATTTATAAAGGCTTCATGTCAACTTAACCCTAACGGATCCTACCCTATTGGATACTAGATATCCATTCAACTACCCAAGACCCTTAGATTAGTATATTTCTACCCAATAATCTCACATTGGCTCTTATTGAATCTTATCCATAGGATCCAATAATTTAAAAGCTTATTAGATATCTAATAAAATAGGAGCTCTGATAGATATCTCACATTCGAACCTCTACTTATCGCAACGCCTACCATATGTATATGACCATTTAGGCCCAATATTGAGCTGGTCATAAGTCATACTTATCAGAACTCCTTTTAACTTAGTTTATTCATTTGACTCATTGATTGCAAATATACTATGCCACTACGCCGCAGTCCCCAGACGATACATGGAAATCTAATATATTGGACTTGTCTGTCCTTAATTATCATGTATTTATAGTCTCTCATCTAACTAATTCAAAAGACTATATATCGGACATGGTATTATCAGGCCCATACGGTTTCTACTCGAATCTCACTCTAATTGGATTCTCCTAGAAAACTCTTTCTCTCTTAATCTGAATGACCCTAGCTAGAGATTTGCTTGAGCAAGAACACATGAGATATTCCTCTCATGACACCGAGTGAGGATGATCCTCTATCAATACTCAATAGCTCTCGTAAGGTTGGTTGTCACTCTCGATGGCTAGCTATGCTAGATCTGGAACTTTCAGGCTTATAAGTCTGGTATCAAAGAGTGAAGTACTCATATAGAATATCCTTAGTATCTAAAGTCTAAGTACCAGATACACCACAAGGATAACGAAATCATTATCTGATAATGAGGTATCATCAACCATCCAATATTCCATGAGTGGATCAATCAATGAACTTATTCGAGCACCTACACTGTATCCCTAGTGTCCCCACATGAGCAGCTTTGAGACCAGCCACCTCCATTATATGGATGAGTCTGCAATACACCGGTCTATCTAATTATCTAAATGTCCCTCTCGAGTAACATATGACCGAGATTATTTAGGGTTTGTGTTTAAAGGTGAATCGATCTCATTATCGTGATCTCATCACGATCTGATTCTCATTACACAAATTTAAGGACATCACAATATATATATATCTAACAACCAATATAAAATGAGAAAATATAATAATAATAATAATAAATAAAAAGAATGCATATCATATCATACATGTCATCACTCACGTGATTGACTTGCAGAGCATCGATGATTAGTAATCTCAATTGACCTAAAGTCAATCACATATATGTTTGATCTTCATCAGACCCCTATGATGCTCAAAGATAATATGAGACAACAGCTTTGTTAGTGGATCTGCTACTAGTCATAGGTGCCCTACAAGCCAATCACATGAGTGATGACACGTGTGACTTGACACGCAAACTTTTTATTTATTATTATATTTTTTACATTTTATCACTTTATATTGACTGTTGCTTGAATATATCGTAATGTCCATGAGTCTGTGCAATAAGAATCGGATCGTGATGAGATCACGATAATGAGACTGATTCACCTTTAAATATATATCCTAAATAATCCCGGCCATAGGTTACTCGAGAGGGACATCAAGAAAACTAGACAAATTGGTGTACTGTATACCCATCCATATGATGGATGCAGCTGGTCTCATAGTTGCTCGTGTGGGGACACTAGGGATACAGTACATGTGCTCATCGGAGAATGAGTTCACTAATTGATCCGCTTACGAAATACTAGATGGTTGATGATGCCTTATTATCAGACAACGATTCCATAGTCCCAATGGTATATCTGATCCTTAGACTTAAGACACCAAGTCTAAGGATCAAGCACACAATTCAGACCATGGAACCTGATAAGACCCTAAGGTATTATCATGGAAGAAAGTAGAGAAAAGGAAATGATAATGATCGCTTCGAAAGGATCAGCCTCGTTGATCGCTTCAAGGGGATCGGCTCTCCTTGATCACTTCGAGGGGATCGACCATCCTCGATCACTTCGAGGGGATCAGCCTCCTATGGTTTGTCCACATAGTGGAATAACATTTCATTGAGTAACTGATTGATTCCTTAAAGAAATGGTTACATCACTATTTATAGAGTTCCACCTAAAGTCCACTAGGACTTGAACTCTAATAATAATTAAATATTATATAAACCTCTACCTGACTCTAACTGAACCAAACCGACTCAATAAACAACTAAACTAAACAGACTCGATAAACATTATTCAAAAGCTTAGAAAAATGGTCCTAACAATTCCTCCCTCTTCAAATCAGTCTTGTCCTCTGATAAGACCCTAAAGGTCTTATCGTCGCTCTGATACCAAATGATAAGACTCTAAAGTCTTATCGTCGAAAAAATGGGGGAAATGGGGATGATAATGATCGTTTCGAGGGGATCGGCCTCCTTGATCGCTTCGAGGGGATTGGCCCTCCTTGATCACTTCGAGGGGATCGGCCCTCCTTGATCACTTCGAGGGGATCAGCCTCCTAGGGTTTGTCCAAAAGACAGAATAGTATTTTTCATAGATTACTGAAAAGAAGCAGTTACATCCTTATTTATAGAATTCCACCCAAAGTCCATCAGGACTTGAACTCTAATAATAAATAAATATTAGATAAACCTCTACTTGACTCTAACTGAACCAAACCGACTCAATAAACAAATAGACTAAACAGACTCAATAAATAATATTCAAAAGCTCATAAAAAGGGTCCTAACAGTTCCTCCCTCTTCAAATCAGTCTTATCCTCAAGGTTGAGCAGCATCAATCTCGGGGAGCTTGTCTTTTAGCACTTCAGTCATAGGTTATCTGCAACGCATTACAACCCGTTGATCAATTAAGTATGGTCTCCACTTTTTGACAGTGTAAGCAATAGGTCGATCTTTCAGTGTAGTAATCGTTGCAAGAAATTCCTGGCCATTGCTATCATAAGTTAAAATCCGGCCATAAGCTTCGAACATATCACAGCCTTCAATGTGGTTGGCTAATTGGGCTGCAACTTTCTTATCCATAAAATTATTAGTGCTATCTGTATCAATCAAAATAGTGA